ACAGGGCAGAGTCTTTCAGAGGTCCTCTGTGTCAGGCTCCTGACTTGTTCCCTCTTTTCTCCTTCTTTTGATGTCCATCCTCTTTGCCTTTTTGGATAGGAATTGAGCATTTTCAATGCAGATGCTGAGACTTATGGGCAACCTTTGGGCAGAGTGCAGGGAATCTTAGGAAAGAAGTGGGAATCAGTAAGATCTGGAGAGGACAGGAACTCCACGAGAGCAACAGAACCAAAAAATCTGAGCACAGGGATCTTTCCTGAGACTGATACTCCAACCAAGGACTATGCATGGAGATAACCTAAGACCCCTGCACAGATGTAGCCAATGGCAGTTCAGTATCCAAGTGGGTTCCATTGTAATAGGAACAGGACTGTCTCTGACATGAACTGATTGGCCTGCTCTTTAATTACCCCCCACCCCCTGAGGGGAGAGCAGCATTACCAGGCCACAGAAGAAGACAATGCAGCCGCTCCTGAGGAGACCTAATTGACTAGGGTCAGAAGGAAGGGAAAGAAGACCTCCCCTATCAGTGGACTTGGGGAGGGGCATGCATGCAGAGGGTGGAGGAAGGGAGGGATTGGGATGGGAGGAGGGTGGGAACCACAGGGGGAATACAAAGTGAATAAAGTGTAATTAATAAAGAATTAAGAAAAATGAACCTGCTCAGGCAACCATGGAGCTCAGAGGAATGTGCGAAGTTCAGGCTAAAAAGAATAGAAGCATGTACTGAATACAGGTTAAAAGGCTAAAGGGCTGGAAAACAAAGACATAACTTTCCATTTTTCCAGAAGGTCCTCTCTTGCTTCATCCCACAAGAAGGCTTCCACCACCAAATAATGTTCATTTTCCTAAATCTCATATAAATGGAATTATATGGCACACAGTCACTTGTGTGGCTTATTCAATTTAGCAAAAACACCTTTGTGGCTTATCCCTGTTGTTACTTACAGTTTCTTCTCTTTGTCACTGAGTGATATTCCATCATAAGTCAGAAATTGTTTTTAGGTTCAGCATTTGCTGGAAATTTGGATTTTTTTTTTTTCAGTTTTTGGCTCTTATAACATTTAAAAGCCACCATAAAACTCATGTGCATGTGAAATAGAAGTGTCTGATCATGTAGATATGCTTTTGTGTGTGTAAATTCCTAGGAGTGAAATTTGGGGGTCATACGGTAAGAGTATATCTAACTTTTAAGAAAATGAAAATCTGTTCCTCAATGTAGTTGTGCTCTTTTGCATGTCTATCAGTAATGTATGGAAGTTACACTCCGTAGCAGCATTATTTTGAACAGCTCAAAATGAAAACAACCCAAATGTTCACTGTCAGAAAGATGGATAAATTATATAATATATTCATTCATAAGATACAGCAAATTAACTAGAGCTGTGTAAACCCAACATGACTAAAACATATTAAGGACAAAAGCAAATCCCAGAAGAGTCTCTTGCACTGTGGTGCTGCAGTGTGATGAGAACATCGGCAACTGTTTCATAATTTGGCGGTACTAATGTTTGCTTATTTTCATTCTTTTCCCAAGACAGGGTTTCTCTCTGTAGCCCTGGAAGTCCTGGAACTCAGAGATCCACTTGCCTCTGCCTAAGTGTTGGAATTATAGGAGTGTGACACCACCACCGGCATTATTTTCATTCTTTAATGGGCGCAAAGCATCTTGCACAAACATATCTATGATATTTTCTTAAAATAAAATTTAAGGAAGAAAAATATGGTTCTTTAGTGTTTCTGTTTGCTTTTCTTTGAAAAGGAGAAGGTAATTGGCCTGGACTTTTGTCCTTTTCTGTCATGTGTTTTTCTAACTCTATTTAGTATTCTGCATACTCCCTCAGAGAAAGTACTGGCATGGTACTGAAGTAATTCTGAAATGCATTTGCATCTTTCAGAGTGGGTAGGTAGATGTATGACTCCAGGAATAGTAATGGAGATAGTTGAATTCACAAAGCCTTGTTCATGGAGATGGAAATATAGCCCACCTGATGACAAAAGTGTTGGGGGAGAATGAATGATTTAGTTCTTAAAATTATACCAAGAGGGGGCTAGAAAGATGGCTCAGTGGTTAAGAGCACTGGATGCTCTTCTGAGGTCCTGAGTTCAATTCCCAGCACCCATATGGCAGCTCACAACTGTCTAGCTCCTGTTCCAGGGGATCTGACTCCCTTACACATACAGACAAAATACAATGTTCATACAATAAAAAATAAATAGATTTAAAAAAATTATATCAAGAAAGGCTGTGTCTTCTATTTATTCCTTTCCCAATAGAATTATTTGAGATCGAAGTTTAAAATCCATATAAAATGATCCGATAGCCAAATATAGAGGGCATATCATCCATTCTAGAAAGCCCGGCTGGCCACTTATTGAAGAAGATGGCAATATTGACAGCATGTTTTTTTTTTTACTCTCCTCCAGGTCATGTCATAGCAATATAAATTTAAGAAGCTGAAAATCTCACAAGATTAAAGGGCCAGTGAGCAAGATGGAGAGGTGACAGGCAATATGTTTTTCATGTGTTTTAGTTATATTGAGAAAACCATAAATGAGAGCAGTGGATATATTTCCATCTGCCTCCTTTGTCATTGTTAGTGAGGATGATATTTTGTTACAATTACAAACGTGTTACACTTTTTATTATAAGTATATTACACATCATAAAATTTATTTGAATAAAGTTCTTTTTTACCCAAGAAAAACCTGTATGTACAACTCAAATTTGCAGTTTCATTCCAGTTGGAAATTATATGTGAATTATTCAAAAAGTAATTTTAAATATAGAGCGCTAGGACATGAACATTTACTTTATCAAATCATACCACAAATCATTAGCAACCAGATGCTTATAGAATTACTACTAAAATATAAACTCTACTAATTAGAAGTGCCTTAATATTAGTAACTAGTTTGACATCCTTTTAAGTCTGAGCCAAGGTTGAACTAAAAGTAATCTCTTTAGAAAGGGAGTACTTGGTTCACTGTGCTCTGTGTTACTTAGAAATCCTAAACTCCATTTTAAAGAGAAGAAGAAGCCTCTGAAAGGTGGGGTTGGCCACGTCAGTTATTTCACATAGAAAAGTAGCTGGTGGTGTGTGAAGATGTGTTACCTTCTCCTGTATTGATCATCGCTGAGAGATGCTCACTCTCAGTTACACAAGGAGCTCACATTTATGTTGATTAAATCACAGATAAGCTCTACCTAGCCAAAAGATGCATTAAAAATTTGTTTATCTGTTTTTTATTTTGTTTGCATTTGGTGTTTTGCCTGCATGTATGTCAGTTGGGAGGGTGCCAGGTTCCTGGAACTGAAGTTCCAGACAGTTGTGAGCTGCCACGTTGGTGCTGGTTAGCTTGGACACTGTGCTTTTAATTTTTCTCTTTAAAAATCTGGCACAGAAGATTACATGTAAAATTTTGAAATTTCACCTTATTTTATGTATAGGGATGTTTTGCCTTCATGTATGTATATTTATCAGTGCATGCTTGGTGCCTAGGCATGCCAGAAGAGAGCATCAGTTCCCCTGGAACTGGAATTACAGATGGTTGTGAGCCACCATGTGGGGGCCGAGAACGGAGCCCAGGTCCTTTGGAAGAGCAGCCAGTGCTTTTAATAGCTGAGCCATCTCTCCATCCCCAAAGACCTGCATTTTAAACAATCATTCTGGGCTGAGACAGTGCATCCCAGCAGAAACACATGACAGAGAGGAACTGCTCAGCTACGACTAGGAGCAAACCGTCTGAAGACTCTGTGTACTCGATCTCTTGTTGGCAAGTCCTTCATTGGAATGTAGAGTCTACTTTTCTGGGGATTTCAGCATATACTGAAGATCAGCTGAGACATCCAGCCTTGTGGACTGAACAATTGCTGGATTCTTGGACTCCCCATCTGTAAACAGACACTGCTAGACCACAGCCTGTAAGCCACTCTAATAAATCATATATACATATTTATACATATATGTGTAGGTTTATGCACATATGTATTTAGGTATAAATCATATATATTACAATGAATATATGTGTATATACATTATGTGAATATATATATATATATACACATACTATCAGTTTTGTTTTTCTAGAGACCCCTGACTGATGCAGCATCAGAGGGAGCAATGCAGAGCTAGAAGTCTAGAAGGCAGGGACACAGGAGAAAACACTATGACTGCAGAGACACTGGTGGGCCATAAAGCCAAGGAATGCAGGCAGCTACCAGGAGCTAGAAGAGAATCGAAGAGAAGACTCTTCTAGATTCTCCAAAGCTTGTATGCTTCGGGATTTCCGACTATTGACACTAATGGCAGGAGAGACTGTCTTATTTTGAACGGCTGAGGTTGTGATCCTCTGCTTTAGCAGAGTTAGGAAGCAAGCACAGAAACACTGTCCATATTTTCTGACCCTTTCTTGAGATCCATGAGATTGCCTATTTTAACATGGGTAGATCCAGACAAACTTAAGATTTATATATTAATTTTTTCCAGGGGCTGGAGAGATTGTGTGGTTAAGAATACTTATTGTTCTTGCAGAGGACCCAAGTTCGGTTCCTAGTGCTCATGTCAGGCTGCTTTAGCTCCAGTTCCAGGGGTTCCTATGCATTCTTCTGGTCTCCAGGGACACACTCATGACATACATCACACACACAGACACACACAGACACACACAGACACACACACACACACACACACACACACACACACACACACACACACAAAAATCCTTAACAAATTTCCAGAAGAGAGGATGGCTAAAATGCTAGCGTTTCTAATCACTTTCTTACATAGGTATTTGTTATCTGAAAACTGACAGGGAATGTTGACAAGTTTAAAAAAGAAATGCTAAAGTGGAGTAGATATTAATTCATGTGAAAACAAAGCCTTGTCATGAAAAAGCCATCCTCTGCCTGGGAACAATGAAGAGCTTGCTTTATTTATTTAAATATCAAACACTCAAAAATCCACAGCTGAAGACAGTTTTGTTTTTCTTCTTTGCAGGAAGAACACGAGAGCTCTCCTGTCTGGAAGTGTGTTTACTACCTAATTTCACCTATCCACTTTCCTCCTTCAATTTTTCTTCTGTGGCTCTTCTGCAACCAGCAGAGGAAACACAGACTATTATGGGAATCTTTCCAAATCACTCCAGTTTCCAAAGCTTCACTGAGATTTGCCAAGGCATCACAAGTGGATTTCCGATGTGCTCCTTGTGTTTGGTTTGTGAATCCAAAGAAGATGTGGATTTCATTTCTCAGGAACAAACATCAGAAGGTAAACACAAAGGAATAAAGTGACATTTGCCGAGTCTAAATTAAGTTATTCTGAAAAAAAAAAAAAAAAAAAAAAAGCACTCCAGGGCTGGAGAGACAGCTCAGTTCTCTCTTTTTCTTCCTTCCTTCCTTCCTTCCTTCCTTCCTTCCTTCCTTCCTTCCTT